GATTCCTCAGCACCACATAAGCAAAAAGCCGGAAGTGGCGCTGTGGCTCAAGTGTTAGAACGCTAGCCTTGAGCTGAAGAGCTGAGGGACAGCACCAGGCCCAGAGTTCAGGCCCCACGACCGGACAGCCCCCCCCCAAAAAAAACAACCATTGTATCTGATCATATGCACACAGTAGTTCAGATTTTGTATTTTGTGATAGGCAGGACATTGACCAGAGCCAGAAAAGTCAACTATGTCTTAAGGTCAAGAAAGAAGGTCCTTAGCTCCGGATATCACGGCACATCCACCCTGTATGACAGATCTCAGGAAGACAGTTCCAACAGTGTCATACATGGATGGAACTTGGGGTTAAGGGACCTAGGTTTAATCTGAAAACTTCTGAACAGATCTCATGATAAAATGCTTGTCTCCTCAATCACAAGCTGAACTCAATTCTAAATGACAATTCCCCCTTAAAACTCCTTAGGGGACAAAACGTTCTTCTTTTTGAGTTCAGAGAGCATAGCTGTGAGCACCGTAAGACGCTGATGCCTGGGTGCTTGCTAGGTTACTGCCTCACCTGTGCTTTAATTTGGAGCATGTGGTGACGTCTCATGCCCACAAGAGGGTGCTACAAGACCAGTGGTCTTAGGGCATCTTTAAGTTTTGAAGGGAAGTATAAATTGAAGACAACCTCCTACCTCTCTTTTTTTTTTAATCATTATTTTAAAGATGGTGCACAGAGGGTTTACAGTTATGGAAGTCAGGTAAAGCGTACAGTTCTTTTTGGACAATGTCACCCCTTCCCTCTCCTGTCTCTATCTTGAAGACTTTTCAGGACGTGCATTGGCTCAGACGCTCCTGTGCACGTGCTTATCTGTCCTAGGCTAAGCAGGGAAGAGGGAGAATTCCTGCAGCTTTTCTGCTCAAAGAACAGCAGAATAGGCATTTTTGTCCTTCTTTTACCTGAGTGCCATCCTTTCTTCTATCAGCAGAAATGATTATTTTAAGTATGATCTGCCCTTTCATCCTCTAGCTCATGTGAAGCCAAGAGGAGGCAAGTCCCAGCACGGCTCCATTCTGGGTTTCAGGTCTCCTAACATAGACACTAACAAATTTAGACCTACCACCTGGGTCAGGAGAGATTTTAAAAAAATCGACTGTAAGGAGTAATATAGGGGGATAAATATGATCCAAGTTCAGAAACTGCTGTACAGTTAATAGATGCTAATGATACTTTAAAAGGGGTAAGAAGGGCAAGTTCCATTTTATTCATCAATCACAGACACAGACTGTCATAAGGTCTTTGTATAAACAAGTTTTTGGAGCCAGAAGTCTGAGCCTGAATCATTAGCTCTAGAAGTTGGGATGATTTATTAAACCTGTCTGAGTCATCCATAAATGGATTGAAATATTATCATGACTTTCTATATTGTGAAGGTTCATTCAACTCTGCATTCATTCACAAAGTTATCTGAGCACCTACCATTTAACAGGCGCTGTTTGAGTAGATGGAGACACAGTTGGGAAGATAGGAAAGGTCACTGCCACCAGGGGGTTATGTTCTACTGGGAAGGTAGATAACCAGCTGGGTGCTGGTGGCTCACCTCTTAATCCTAACTACTCAGGAGAGCAAGCTCTAAGGATTATAGTTCAAAGCCGGCCTGGACAGAAAAGTCCAGGGGATTCTTATCTGCAATTAATCAGTAAAAAGCTGAGAGTGGAGCTGAAGCTCAAGTGGTAAAACACCAACCTTGAAAGAAAAAGCTAAGTGAGAGTGTGAGGTCCTAAGCCCTAAGTTTAAGCCCCAGTACCGGCATACACACACACAATCTTACTCTGTGACTGAGAATGAAGGGGATAGAGTACAGACAGACAGCTGAGGAGCTGAGTGGCAGGGTAGGGCTCTGGCTGAAGTGGTCAGGGACAGCTCTTGAGCATGCAAGGCCCTGGGCTGCGCACACACTGAGGAGTCCCAGAGGGCCACAGCCTATTGGAAAATCAGAGAGGAGGCCAGGAAAGCACAGACACATAGAGGCCATCAGGCTGGGGGGAGGGGCAGGGGGATTGCACCTGGGCCTGGTCTGGTCTCAGTATAATAAATGTTCTCAAAAGGTGTCCTATGGTATTCCCAGATGCCACAGGAATGAGAGACCGTCATCAGTCTTGGTATGGGCTGCATTCTGACTGTAAATGAGCATTTATTTACAATGTCTTATCAGAGCCCACTTTCTCTTTCCTCTCTCTCCTCAAATGAAAACTGGCATTTCAAGATATGCTTTCTTAAGATCAGAAAAAGTAACCCATCAGGGACTCGAGGAGAGCAGGCTGCATCATCTGACATCTCATCCCAAGTCCCAAGCTCCGGGGCATCGCCACAGAACCCTACACCTCCCTGTGGTAGTGGGATTCTGTCACCCTGTGTATTGTATGACAGAGAAAGGACTTGCTTTTGAGAGTGTGAGAAGCCCTTCTGACAGCAGGGTGGGAAAGGTAGGGTGCTGGTGTGGGTGCCAAGCCAGGCACGCCCTTCTAACTTAAGACGCAGTGGGAGGTGCTGGCATCATCCAGGGGTTCATTTTCAGTTCCCAGGCTGAGGGCCTCTGGGGCCAGCCTTTTGTCCACACTGGACTGCTGGGGAGTGGGTGGAGGAACAAACACCAAGTAAAAAGTCAACAGTTACAGCGGCTGGGCCTGTTCTCCTGGGAGACCTTCAGGGGGCAAACTGTGTGGGACACTGGCAGGTAGGTGAGAGTCTAAAGCAGTGCAGGAGGCTGGGGCCAGGCAGATGAGTCATACCAGATACTGAAATAGCTTTGCTCCCCACAGACTACAATGATGGTGGCTACTCCCCACAGGGAACCAGAGACATGGGACTAGCGAAGGAGAGGACTTGATGAGCAGGACTGGCGTGAGGACACAGCTTTCCAGAATCCAGAAGGTGTGCTGCTCTCTGCCTGCCTGCCAGAGCTACTGCAGCAGAGCGACTGCACAGTGGCTGAGCCACCGCTGTATTTCACTCAGGAAACTCAGGAGCTGCCGGCAGCTAAAACTGGGAAGTTTGCAAGCTAGAGATGCAAGACTGGAACACAGATCTCTGTGCCTGACTCCATGGCCCAAGATCTTAAGTATCATAACCAACACTGAACACATCTGGCACATCTGAACTCCCTGGTTCAGGAGTTTAGGGAATGTGTTATAAGAAAAGCTTCTCTAAGGAGTAAATGATTATGCTTCCTGTTGATTCTATTTATATATATGAACAGCTAGTTCCTTAGACATATGTGTAAAGAATCTTGTATATACATTTTTCGAATTTGGGGAGGGAAGGGAAATAACAAAATGCTGAAATAAGGATACAGGTTGACCCATTGTAACAATGAGATGTACAAGACACTACGTTGAAAATGAACTTTACAAGTTTGGTGAGGGGGGGAGGGAGAAGTTAGGGAGGTGGGGAGGGAAAGGATGGTAGGGGAAAAACTAAGGAGGGGGTAACAGTGCTTGATAGGAAATGTACTCGTTACCTTACCCATGTAACTGTCACCCCTCTGTACAGTATCATTACAATAAAAATATATTTAATAAAATATTGTTGGTAGGAAGATATGGGAGAATAAACATAAGACGAAATTTGACTTAAAAAAAAAAAGAGGAGCAAGGCTGAAAACAGCAGGCTAACGCTCCCAGTTAGTTAATTCAGGAAAGGACAGCTCCCAAAGAATACAGAAACCAAGATGACAAAGAAACCGGGAACGCCTTCAAAATTAAAAAACAAAACAGAAAAGTCCTTCATAAATCTTAAGGAAAAAAAGAGAAAATACATCTATCTTAGGAATTAAAAAGTGAAGATTTAAAAGATAGTCTGTTTTGTTTAACTTTATGCATGTACATACATATATGTGCGCATGCTATCTATATGTATATGTGTATACATACATATTTGCAATATATATATTATATATGGAGAGAGATGAAAATTGTTCTCCTCTGGTGCTAGGGATTGAACTCAGAGCCGCACAAATACTAGGTAAACATTCTACTACTACAAATGTTTTTTTTTTTAAATAGGAAAATACAAAATCAACAAAACCCAATCAAAAACTTATAAGAAACTTAAAACGTTACAAGGATATTTTCTCTAAACACATGGTACTAGTTTCAGATGCTTATGAATAGAATTGATCAACTCTTCCAAGAATAGCTCATTTCTATGTATCTTTTCCCTTTTCTCAAACATAGCAAAATTTGGACATCTTTCTAATTCATTCTTTGAGGAAGAGGCAAGCTTGCTGCTAGAAACTGTCCATGATGATGCAGAGCTGTGGTAACTGCTGTGTGGACAAAAGGCTGAACGGTATGGGACAGAGTCCAAAAATACGACTTAGGAGAAATTTAGCCCATGACCAAGTTGGCATTTCAAGACGAATGATGAACGGTCGATTACTCAATAAATGATTTGAACAATACTAAGTATTCGTTTGAAAAAAAAAGTTAGATCACCACCTCAAAGTGGATGCCTATATAAATTCCCTATGGATAACAGATAAACAACTTTCCCAAAACAAATAACCAAAAACTAGAATGGAATATTTTTATAGTCTTGGATGGGAGGAAGTTTTCTCTCTAGCAGAAGTCCATAAGAAAACCCCACTGATTTAACTACATGATTGTGCTAAGAAAATCTGTGAATATTTAAAATGCATAAATACTTCACTGCTGTAAGTCTGGTTGGAAGAGACTTTACTTTCACATATAATCCTGGACTTATGTGTAAGGATACTCACTTGGATAATAGGGAAAGCCTGAAATCAACCCAAATGCCTTAAGATGGTATACTGGTTAGAAAACTTATGGTAAATACATACAATGCTATTACTTCCAAGGTGTGGGGGTTGGGTAAGATTTGGGTAAGAAAAACTGAAGGGAAGTTTTACATTTTACTTTGCATAGAATAGTTTACTTGTTCACATACACATATACATCACGAAATATCTTAAGTAAATCGAAGAGCAACAACAACCTGGTAGAAAACATTTACATTACAAGTGGTAACAGCCTTAATATGTTAAGAAAAGTAAAAAATAAAGTCACTACATGAAGACTTCATTTAATCAATTTCACAATGACTCTATGATGTAGGTTATTTTCCTTTTTCTTTGACAATGAGACACAAAGGAATTAAAATTCACTTGCCCAGGGTTAAAAACAGCAAGTGAAATGCAGAAATGCACACACAGGCAGTCTGCATGGACCTAAGCTATCTGCTTCTCAATAGACTAATCTTGATTTACTGACCTAAGATCCTTTGTTAGTTAAAAAAAAAAGAAAATCCTTTTTTTTTTTTTTTTTGGTCGGTCATGGGGCTTGAACTTGGAGCCTGGATGTTATCCCTCAGCTCTTCAGCTCAAGGTGAGCACTCTACAGCTTGAGCCACAGTGCCACTTCTGGTTTTCTAGTGGTTTACTGGAGATAAGAGTCTCACAGACTTTCCTTGACCGGGCTGGCTTTGAACTGTGATCCTCAGATCTCAGCCTCCTTAGTAGCTAGGATTGCAGGTGTGAACCATCGGCGCTCGGCCTTTTTTCTTTTTTATTATAGAGTCTTGCGTATGCTGGTCTTGAAGTTGTAGGCTCAATAAATTATCCACCTCAGCTTCCTTAGTAGCTGGGACTATAGGCATGCACCACTAAGCCTAGCTTTTTATCAATTTAAAACTTAAGAACAGAAACTGATTTTTTTTTTTTTTTAGTTCTGAGACTACCACTTTTCCTAATTAACTAGTACTCTTATCAACTGAATCATGCCTCCAACCCCAAGAAAGGAACTTATTATTTGATTAAAATAGTTAACTACTATATTACTTAAAATCTCAGATGTAAGCCAGGTGCCAGTGGCTCAGGCTTGTAATCCTAACTACTCAGGAGACTGAGATCTGAGGATCACAGCTCAAAGCCAACCCGGGCAGTAAAAGTCTGTGAGATTCATATCCAAATAAGCACTAGAAAACGGGAAGTGGTACTGTAGCTCAAGTAGTAGAACACCAGTAGTTCAAGTAGTTCAAGCCCCAGGACTGACCTACTCCCCCCCCCCAAAAAAAAAATCTCAGATATAAAGGAGTAACTAGCCAAACTATTTTCAAGTTTAGAAACCACCCTGCTATCATATCAAAATCAATCTTGTTTTAGTGTAGAGTTCAGCCAATATTTTCTGTGTAGAGGCAAATAATATTTAGGCTTTGATGCTCACATGGGTCTCTGTTGCATCTCCTCAACTCTGTCGTTTAATTGAAAAGCAGTAGTAGACATTATGTAAATTTCTTTAGAAATCGTTCTGTTTCAATAAAACTTTATTTACAAAAATAAATGATCCTCAAACTATGCTGACACCTATTTCAGTTTTTAATTAAATGTTTACAGTGCTGGGGATTGAATTCCAGAGCCACTGAGCTACACTCCCCCAGGCCCTAGTGACATACTTATTATGCCTTTTCCCCACTTAGATTACTTAGTCTTCATGATGGCCTGGCTCCCTTTTTTGGGGAAAGGGGAGGGGTGCCAGTCCTGGGGCTTGAATTCAGGGCCTGGGTGCTGTCTCTGAGCTTTTGTTCTAAAGGCTAATTAATGCTCTATCACTTGAGCCATAGCTCCACTTCTAGCTTTTTGGTGATTAATGGGAGGTAGGAGTCTCACAGACTTTCTTGTCCCTGCTGGCTTCAAATCCTGGTACTGAGATCTCAGCCTCATGATAAGATTACAGCCTTGCCCAGCTGATAGCTTGGTTTTTGTAGCCACCTTTTGTAGGGCCTGGTTTACAAGGAAGGAGATATTCCTTGACGCCTCTTAATTGGACCAAGCATTACAAAAGGAGTGCAGAGATGTGTACCTCTCATAGGTGTCTTACTCCCTGGAACAGCCATATGGCTGTCCTAACTCCCACCACAAAGCTCCAACTACTACACGCTCCTCCCACCACAGACACACCCACCACACCTTCAGTTCTCTCCGCCACACAAGGAATGGTGTTGGATTCTATCCGTTGGTTTAAGGGAAAATGGATTCAACTAGAATCAGTATGGAGTGATACAGAAATGCCTCAGAAGAACTATCTGTGAACAGGCCTGCTTGCAGAAAGCTTATGTGTATGTGACTGAGGATGCAGGTGCCACTATGTCTGTGTTCCGCCAGTAGTGCAGCACAATGGTCGATCCCACCTGCCTACAGAAAAGCCACACAGCCAACTAAGAACTTATATCAACACCAGAATGCCAACACCAGAAACCAACTCTAAACAGGAAGTAGGGGCTGAGGTCATGTTCCCATTTCCATAATGCCAATACTGGGGGAAAGGAAACTTGCTTTAAAATAAACAATATTGCTGGGTGCTGGTGGCTCACAGCTGTAATCCTAGCTACTCAGGAGGCTGAGATCTGAGGATCGTGGTTCAAAGCCAGCCCGGGCAGGAATGGCCATGAGACTCTTATCTCTGATTAACCACCAGAAAACTGAAGTAGCACTGTGGCTCAAGTGGTAGAGCTCTAGCCTTGAGCTGAAGAGCTGAGGGACAGCGCCCAGGCCCAGAGTTCAAGCCCCACAACTGACAATAAATAAACAAACAATATTAGTAATATTAGGAATGAGAGCTGTCAAGTATTCTCAGCCTCAACTTAGTAATATCTTGAATAATGCTTGTAAATAAGAACAAGTGGAAGCCACACAAGTGTAATTCAGACAATACGTATTTATTGATAACCACTGAATAACAGTGCTGCTTAGAAACACTGCATGTTTTCACTTAAAAAGCTGCTGATTAATAAAATATAATTCAATTGAGTTGTAGATGTAGGTTGGAAATGTGTGTACATATGTATGTATTTTCAAGAGCCATTCAGGTAGTTCAAGACTGTAATAAATGACTAACACTCATCAATGGTAGTTGAGCAAACAAACACTTTTTTCCTTAACAATAAAATAGGCTTCTAGCTAATGTTTTCTAGCTGATTTTTCTTTCATAGCTATGACATACTATGTTTACGAATATATTGATGATGATTTAATATCAATTTGTCAGCCTCAAAAAAGTTCTAAGAGATTCACACCATCTTCACGCATGAGAGACGCCTCCAGAGGCAGCTGTTAGACCTGACTCAACACAAATGCAGCAGTGCTTCACCAGGAGGTGCCCAGAGCAGGAGCGACCCGCTCTGTGCTGAGCTACTTACAGCAAACGGGTGATAGGGGCCGGTAGGGGGGACTCCACGGGGCCCGGCTGGTGGAGGCAACACTGACAGTCCTGTTGAAAAGATGCCAAGTGCACTAAGGTTCAACCCCGGAATCAGACTGGTTTGCTGTTGGGAAGAGAAATGGGGAAAAAAGGATGCGAGGAGGAAACCGGACAGGCCCACCTGTCTTCCAATCAACTCCACTCTAGCATGTGGGCCTCTTCCTCCTGAGGCCAAACCTCAATCTGGCCATGGTATTCCTTCAAAGCTATGTGCCACCTTTAGGAGTGTCTATTTTGTTACCACAGTCAACAAGGTCCCCCAGTAGGACCAACTCAGGCTGCCTCTCCAGCTTGTCTCTTGCTAGGCTCTCTTTCCCACCCTACTCCAAACTGCTCCTCATACACCCCAGGCTTCCTTCTCTCACCTCTGGACCTGGTTTAAGGCTGGTTTTAAGATTTGGGGCTCAAGACATCTTCAGCCCCAGCTTTTCAAAGCAGTTGGGATTACAGATACATACCACTGTGCCCTGCTAATTTTATTTTACTCATTTTGGTGTTGGAGACTGGGAACTAAACCCAGGGCTTCATATACTTAAATTTAATTCCAACGAGCCACACACCCAGCCCAGATAGTGTGTGTGTGTGTGTGTGTGTGTGTCTGTGTGTGTGTCTGTGTGTGTGTGTATTAGAGTTTGAACTCAGAAAAGTCTTGTTCCTGCTAGGCAGGTGGTCTACCACTTGAGTCATGTGCAAAGCTTTTTGGGACAGGGTCTTGCCAGGTTATGCCTGTGCTGGCTTGGACTTCAATCTTCCTATTTACGATTCCTGTGAAACTGAGATGATACGTTTGAATCACCCTATCCAGCTACTGGTTGAGATGAGGTCTTGCTAACTTTTGTCCAGGTTAGCCTCAGATTGTGATCTTTTCAATCTCAAGCTCTCAAGTAACTGGAATTGTAGCTGTGAGTCACTGTACCTGGCTAATTTTAAAGCGTGTATTTTTTTTAAATTTAAAGAATAATAAGACAATGTCACAGAAAGTGTAGAAAGTAGCAAAAACTCCACTTTCCTAACGTTTTCAGTTATCTATAGCCTTCCTCTTTGTTTCATTATTTTACATAACTGTAACTGTAGTCCCATATATTCTCATTTTTTTATTTAATAAATATTGTATAAGAAATTTTTCATTTAAAAGATGTGATCATAATGGCTTCACATTGTTGTGTCCAGTTTGGGGTTTATCATGATTTACTAGGTGTTTTAATGCCTTTCCCCAAGAAGTTGAGAAAAACGGCATTCTAAGGTACTTCCTTAGCTGAATGCAATTATTCTTAGAAGCTGTGTCCTCTCTGCAAACCCATGGGTAAACCAGTAAAGGAGGAGGCCTGAGGCACTTACGTTGACGGCTAGCATATCGTTTTCAAAGGCCTCACGCAGCTTTTTCATTATCTCCATTTCAGCATTTGCACAGGCTTCAACTGTGCCTTTCACAGTGATGGTTCTTTCAGGGTTGTAGATACTCAAATCCTGCAAACTAGCAGATGGAAAATAAAGAGAGAAATTTCCTTTCATCACAGAAAAAAAATGAAATTACACAAACAAATCTTGGTAGAGATACAGAAGACTGGACTCTCTTACAAAATACTTTGGTACAGAATCTCTACTATTTTATCTGAAACCTTACCAGTAACTTCTATCAGTCCATATTTGGCTGATTGGCCAATCTGGGTAAGCGGGCTTTTGGGGGGTATTCTTTTAGGAAGGGTATGGCTGTTTTCTTGTTTTGTAGTACTATGATAAAACCTAGGGCCTTGTTCAAGATAGACAACCACTCTTACTACTGAGCTACATCCCCAGCCTTTGTTTTTGATCATAATGGAGAGAGGTACATCATGGTACAGCTGAATAAGTTTAGGATGCAGAAGTGCTCAAATATTCATTAAGAGACACATTAACTAATGTTAATAGATGACTTACGATGAGATGGTTATCTTGGTCCCTGTCTCATGTTCAATTTTCTTCAAATTTCTGCCTTCTTTGCCAATCAGTCTTCCAACCAAGCCATTATGGGCCAAGATTTTCAAAGGAATCTCTTCCGCTCTAAAAAAGACAAAGAGTAACTTGATACTTAAGATATAGCATGCTTTTTCTTTTCCTTTTTTGTTGGTACGAGTATTTGAACCCAGGGCCTCACGTTTAGCTCAGCTTGTTTGTTCAGCTGGCACTCTACCATTTAGCCATTTTTCGAGTCTGGTTTTGATAGTTATCTAGAGATAGAATATCCTGGACTTTTCTGCCCAGTCTAACCTTGAATTGAGTTCCTTTAGATTTCACCTTCCTAAGTAGCAAGGATTACAGGCATGAGTCATGAGGCACCTAGCTTACTCTGCTTTTGTTGTGGTGGTGGTGGTTTACATACTAAGAGGTCGTGGACTTTAAGTGAAGCAGGTCCCTTACCAATTCCAGCTCATGAATTCTGATGAACATAAGTTAAACCAACATGATTCAACTTCCTTGCAATAACTGGTTAGCAGTGGGTCCCTGAGGCAGATCTGGCCAGTGAGATAGGAATTAAACACAGAACCACCATATGATTCAGCAATCCTACTCTGGGCATACATCTAAAAGAATGGGAAATGAAATTATTTGCAAACTCAGTCACAGCAACAATCTTCACTAGTAGTGAGATGGAGAAATACAAAATACCCATCATGAATAAACAGATGTGCCATACAACACAATAAAATACTATTAGACTTAAAGGAAAGGAAGTCCTGTTTCATGCTACAACATGGAAGAACTTGATGCTTAGTAAAATAAGTCCATCACAAGAAGACAAATACTGTGTGATTCCATGAAGTACCCAAAGTAATCAAACTTGTAAGAATACAAAGTATAGTGGTGGGGTTCACCAGGATTAAAGGAGGTTAGAAACAGAGAGCTACTTCATGGTTACAGAATTTCAGATCTGCAAGATAAGAAAGTTCTGGATACTGATTTCATAACAATGTAAATGAATACATTTAACACAATTTAATTGTATACTTAAAAATGATTAAGATGGAGCCAGGTATAGTGGCTCAAACCTGTCATTCTAGCTACTTAGGAGGGAGAAAGATTAGGGTTTCAGAGTTTAAGGCCAGTTCAGGAACCTCTCCACCAAAAAATTCACAAGTGCTGAGTGCTGGTGGTTCACACTTATAATCCTAGCTACTCAGGAAGCTGAGATCTGAGTATCAGAGTTTGAAGCCAACCCAGGCAGGAAGGTCCATGAGACTCTTATCTCCAATAAACTACCAAATAGATGCAAGTGGAGCTGTGGCTCAAGTGGTAGAGTGTTAGTCTTGAGCAAAAGAAGCTCAAGGAAAGCACCTGAGTTCAAGCTCCAAGATCAATGTTCTCCCTCCCCCCCCAAAAAAAAAAGAAGGGAAAAAAAGAAAAGAAAAGGAAAAAAATCATGAGACATTATCTCAACCAATGGCTGAATGTGGCAATGGTAAAGCCACTTGGAAAATAAACAGGAGGATCATAGTCCAGGACAGTCAGGCCTAATAGGAGTCCCTATCTGAAAATAACCAAAACAAAAAGGGGCTAGTGTTGTGGTTCAAGTGATAGCCTGTCTAGAAAGTGAGAGGCTCTGAGTTCAAACCCCAGTATGCCAAAACACTTTAAAAAAAAAAAAGGTTAACATGGTAAAATTTATGTCACATGTGTTTTAGCAAAATCCTTAAAAACATTTTTTTTAACAGGTACAAGGAAGTCATGCCCTCCTTCAAGCTTAGAATATTTTTCTATGGAAATAGAATACCTGAAATCCAATAATATATCATCACCAAGAGGACAGAAGCCATCACAAGAAAAAGAAAATCAGAAAAATGTCCTCATAGTTCTTTGAATCCATGATTCAAAGGGCCTTACAGTTATTCTAACTTAGGGCTTCCTGTTATGAGCTGTAATTATTATTTCTTACTCTTTAGGCCACTTATGTTTCCTATTACTTGAGACCAAATTGCTAGACAGATGCATTACTACAGAAAAAGCTTGGAAAATTATGCTTTGTAAAAAAAAAAAAAAGCTCCACCAGAATGTAACTTTAGAGGGCAGACTGTTTTGTTCAATTTGTTCACTGCTCAGTTCCTGGCATGCAAAGTACAGGCTGGCACACAGTGAGGTGCTCAACAAATACTTTGGAAGTGAATAACAGTAAGGGTTAGGATCCTGGTTCTCCTGCATCTTTTTCCCTCTACTCACCCCCATCAAAGCTCTGTCACCTACATAGTAACATTTTCCCTAAGACCCTCATGTCCCTTCCTGTCCCATAAAACCTTGATTAGGGCCTCACATGACATGTAGTCATAAGACACTGCATTTTTCCACTGTAGCATTTTTCACAGCTGCACTTAATTACTTACTGGTGTAATTATTTCTTAGTGAGTGTCTCTCCCACTGGACTGTACACTCTATCAAAGCAAGGACTATATTTTACTCATGATGGTAGCTTCAACAATCAGAGCTGGGAAGGTGGCTCAGTGGTAGAGCGCTTGCCTTGCATGCCTGAGGCCCTGGGTTCAATTCCTCAGCACCACATAAGCAAAAAGAAAAAAGCCGGAAGTGGTGCTGTGGCTCAAGTGGTAGAGTGCTAGTCTTGAGCTGAAGAGCTGAGGGACAGCGCCCAGGCCCAGAGTTCAGGCCCCATGACCGGACCCCCCCCAAAAAAAAAACAGAACAAAAAAACAATCATCACCATGTGTAGCACAGTGCAGGTACTTAGAAAACTTCGTTGCAAAGGTGAGCTAGATGCCAGTGGCTTATGCCTGTAATCCTAGATATTTGAATAGCTGAGAACTAAGATTGTGGTTCAAATTCAGCCTGGGCAGAAAAATTCAAGACTCTTGTCTCCAATTAACCAGCAAAATAGGCAGAAATGAAGGTGTGGCTGAAGTAGTAAAGCACCAGTCTTAAGTAAAAAGCTAATGAAGTTCACACCCCAATAAAGGCACACAAAAAACAAAAAGAAAGAAAAAAAAGAAAGAAAGATCAAATGTATTCAAACTCCAGCTTGGCTCTACATAAAAGCTTAAAACTTAAAACTCAATTTACAGATCAGTCTATTTGACTATACTTTTCTAAACTGCTGTATCTCAGTCAAAGGAAGGAGAAGGGTATTATTTATAAAATTCTCAATAATTTAGATGAAAGAAGGGTTAAGCCCTTCTTTACTATTCCAGGAACAGCAAATTGATAAATGAAAGAAAAGGACTTCTTCATGTAATCTAAGTATATATTTGAAAGTTTCTCTCACAAATGACTTTCATCTTCTTGGTTTTAGAACAGTCATATGTCACATTATTTGCCAAATTAATTTAATATTCAATTCAGAAACTGCCACTACAGTCCACAAACAGATTTTTGTCAATCTGACAGTCTTTTAAAATATGATGTCATCTATTCTATTCATTCATTATAATACAAAACCAACTTGTTTAGCAAGATCTTATATTTGCCATACAAACTGATACAATGCTTATTACATCATGGTACCCTAAGAGAACTACTTCATGAAAGAAATGGAGGGGCAAGATAAAAGAAAAAAAAGTAAAGAGTAATGCTATCACTTACTTAAGAAAATGTAACCCTAATTTAAGAATGCATATAGTCTAGAAGCATGGTGAAAAAAAATTCCTGAGCAATAAAAGAAGACTTTGGTGATAATGTACTTTCTTTTTTGTTGCTGTTTTTTGTTTTGTTTTTTTTTTGTGTGTGTGTGCCAGTACTAGGGCTTGAACTCAGGACTTGGGCACTGTCCCTGAGCTATACAGGCTATCACTCTACCACTTGAGCCACAGTTCCACTTTCAGCTTTTTCTTTTTTAAAAAAAAATTTTGGTGGTTAATTGGAGATAAGAGTCTCATGGAAATCCCTGCCTGGACTGGCTTTGAACCATGATTTTCAGATCTCAGTCTCCTGAGTAGCTAGCATTACAGGAATGAGCCACCAGCACCCAGCAACCATTCTACACCTATGTTGTGCAACAATAGCCATTAGCCATCTACTTGACTATTGAAATTTGAATTTGTGAAGATAGAACATTCAGTTCCTTACTGTTCTATTCCTGTTTAAAGTACTTGATAGCAACATGTGCCTACTAACTTTTGTGGGGAGAGGGAGAGGTTCACAGGTCTTCAAACTTGAACTAAGACCTTGGGTGCTTTATCACTCAAGGATGGCACTCTTCCGCTTGAGCCACAGCTTCCACTTCTGGCTTTTTAGTGATTAACTAGAGAAAAGAGTCCCATGGCCTTTCTTGCTTGGGCAACACGATCCTCAGCTCTCAGCCTCCAGAGTGGCTAGGACTAAGGGTAGGTAATACCGGTAGATAACATATTTCTTGCTTTTACTCAGTTGAGTGCAAAGAGGAATATCACACAGACTTACAGTTTGGTCTCATCGGCTTCTTTCTGCATGATTTCAAGAATCATGCGGCATGCTTCAGACGTCCCCTCTGGCGTGGCATGAATGGTGACAGGCTTCTCGGCAGCCCCTGAGTTCTCCTTTCTATGGATGTCAACCCTGTAGGAAAACAATCAGAAGCTGTAAGTACAATATTATCTGGGATAATACCCAAGAAAACAGCCAAAGGACAGCAAGGACCCAGACAGACCAGAAAGAATTATTAGCCCATCTGCAACCAATGTCATTCTCCAAGAAGGAGGCAAGCAGTGCAGGGGTTTTGTGTGAGACCTTAATCTTTTGCAGCTCCAGTTAGAAGGGGACTATTCTTACAAGAGTGCTGTGGGACAAAGGCAACACACCAGCTTGATGATGAAGCTAGTTTGGTAAATGACCTATTTGTATAGTCTTCTAAATGACTGTAGAAGTGAAGAGTCAAGTGAGAATGCCGGCATACTGCCACTCTCTCAACTGACTGCAGCTTTACAAAGCTGTATGTTAATCCAAATCCAAATACCAAATTCAAGTATGCTTTATGTATTTGAGTGTGGATAGAAAACAGAGGCATGCTCTCGCACCGCCTCTCTAAGCTTTTGGTTTCCTTTCTATTGGCAGCCTGCCTTCCTCTAGGCTCTTAAAACTAATGGCTCAAAAGCTTGATGACTTTCCCAGACTTTTTTCGGGTAGTTGTCGCCCTACTTGTTTTTGTGAAATTTCAAAAATCACATAATTGATTGCATCCCTTTTTACTTCGGCTATCAGAGCCCAGAGCCGAGTCTTGGAGCTATTTCTCTAAAACGGTCACATCTGAGAGCTAATTGCACTTCAATTTAACCTTGTTCCACTTTGCAAGCTAGCTTAAACCATTTTGGAAATAAAAAGAGATATACATTCTTAAAAAATCACTTTCACAGTGCAACAAACTTGGTAGGGGGAAAAAGAGCTTTTAAAATGAAAGTAACATCGGGCAATAACTACAGTATTCCAACATTTCCCTCCTGAAGGTCTGTATTCTGAGCTTATCCATGTGAGGTTCTATACTGGGGGGTAGGTAACTCAGTCACTTTGAAGAAAAATGGCATTTTATCTTTCAGATTACAGGGATTCATTCAGTGGCCTCAATCAAATATATTATCATATGTAAATAACTAATGTTTGCCAATAATCTGTGCGTTGCAATTTAAGTGCTTTTATATTAACGATTTCGCTGGGGGTGTAGGTGTGGGTGTGCACGCGTGCCAGTCCTGGGGCTTGAATTCAGAGTCTCATGTTCTCACCTAGCTTTTTGCTCTACCACTTGAACCATACACCTCCACTTCTGGCTTTTGCTGGTTAATTGGAGATAAGGGTCTCACAGACCTTCTGACCCCAAATTTAAACCTCAATCCTAAAATCTCAGCCTTCTTAGTAGCTAGGGTTACAGGTGCAAATCACCAGCACCTTTCAATGATTTCATTTAATCTTGCCTAATAGTTGTAATTCTCACACACAAAAAAAAATAGTAATTTTTTTTTTATAGAACAAGCAATTGATGCTTGCTTAAAAAAATGTCTTGCCAAGCAACAGTGGCTCATACCTTTAATCCTAGCTACTCAGGAGACTTAAGTTTTGAAAACCTTGTTTCAAAGCCAGCCTGAGCAGGAAAGTCCGTGAGACCCTTATCTCCAACCAATTAGCCAAAAGCCAGAAGTGGAGGTGTGGCTCAAGTGTTAAGAGTGTTAGCCTTGACCAAAAAAGAAAAAAAAAAAAAAAACAACCAAAAGCTCAGAAACAACACCTAAGCCTTAAATTTAAGCCCCAGGCCATCAAAAAATATCACCTCACAATTGTCTATCAATTAAGTGAACTTAAACATAAGTAATTATTTTTAATCCTCATATTTTCTTCATTACATTTTGTGCTGTGTGGTCTTAATATAAAACAACTCCACAAGTCATTTTATCCACTGACTACTACCACCAGTTCAATATCCTCAAACAAGAAAGCCAGACACAGGGCCAGTGTACTTTGTTGCTGGCTTGCTCCTGCAGTGACTCACTACTTCTATGTAAGGCTCCCTTGGTGGTCACAAGAATGGCTACCTTCAGGGTTCTGACTCAGGGCAGGAAGTTAAGAGCTGAGATGAGCAAGTTCCAGCATCCCACAGAGCCCCATACCTCAGCTGTGTTAGTACTAGTTGAATTCACAGTATTAGTTAGCTTACGGGACAATCCTTGGCTAAGAGGTCATCAGTGCTTTATTTATTTACTTTATTTATTTTTTAGTGCCAATCCTGGAGCTTGAGCTCAAGGCTTGGACATTCCTTGAGTTTTTGAGCTCAAGGCTCTATCACTTTGAGCCACACCTCCATTTCTAGCTTTGTAGTAGTTAACTGGAGATAAGAATCACATGGTCTTTCCTGCCCAAGCTGACTTTGAATCATGATCCTCAGATCTCAGCCTCCTGAGTAGCTGGGATTACAGGTGTGAGCCACCAGTGCCCAGCTATCAGCGCTTTCTTTATAGACCTTTAGCCTTCCAGGAAGCCATGTTAGGTGATTAGCATAAAAGTTCATTACAGTCCCCATTTTGATGTTAGTCTGTTAGTAGTCCTGTTGAGAGAAGCCCTCTCTCAAAGAGCACAGCACCCCCCACTGCTGATGTAAGCAATAGTGTTCTGAGGGTGGCTGAAGCCCCAGGACTCAGGGGACCCCTCAAGAGGAAGCAAAGGAAACCCTGGAGGCACATACCGGGACTGGGTCTGCTTAGTGATGTTCTTTATGGTCAAGCCCTCCTTTCCGATGATGGCACCAACAAACTGGGTGGGGACCAGGATCCGCAGCGGGAAATCAATCTGTCTGGCCTGAGAAGAGCCCCCAGGGGCGTGGCCTTGCTCCCGGGAAGAGTGGTCCCCACGCTGGGCTCGCTGAGGGGGCGAAGGGGAGCTCACCTCTTCATCCGGGATGTAGGAAATCTTGAAGGAATAGTTCTCAAACTGATGCCCACTTAGCTTCTCGATGGCTCTGAAATGCAGGAGGGTTGAAGAAGCTTTGTCAGAGAGGAAACTCAAGAAAGATCCATTAGCTTTTGTTTGCCAGGCGCCTGTGTGGGTGCTGGTGCCAGGCACTGAGGATACGGAGATGCGCAAGACAAACAACATCTCTGCTCACTCAGAGCTTGTGGTTAACAAACAAGTAATCACACTGTCTAAGCCTCAGACTTGATATACAATTTTCATTCTTGTTTCTTCTTCACTACCCAAGCCTGTATGTCCCTCACCAAACCCCAAATTACAATTCATCTTCTTAATCACTAACATACAATCTATGATTATTTTAAATGCTAACATAAAATACTTAAATTTCTGAGAAAATTCAGAACTATATAAATGTAAATCAGGAAAATCATAACTATTTCCTCCCTTGCTTACATATATTATTTATTTAAAAACTGACTACTGTATAGTATTTTTGAACCTTTAAAAGTCAGTTAATACCCACTTTGCAATTAAGATATACTAATAAAAAGTTAATATTCTAAACATCTTTCATGCCATTAAATACTTTTTGGAATAATTTTAAGTGGTTATTTAAAATTCTACAGTTACTACAGTTTTTTTTTAGGCCATGCTCTTCTGTTAAGATGCCTAGATTATGTCTAATCTTTTACAGTTTTGTGTGGGGGGTGTTGTTTGGTTTTGGTTTTTTGGTTCAGGTATTGGGGCTTGAACTCAGGGCTTAGGCACATTCCATTACCATGTTCGTTCAAGATTAGCATTCTATCACTTGAGCCACAGCTCCATTTCTGGCTTTTGGTAGTTAACTGGAGTAAACAGTCTCACTGACTTTTCTGATTATGATAGCTTTGAACTGGGATCCCTCAGATCTCAGACTCCTGGGCAGTTAGGATTATAGGCATAAGCCACTGATGCCTGGTGAGTATCTTTTACAGTGTTACTATGAGTAGCTTTTCAACTACAGCTTTGCACACAGGACATATTCCTAGAAGATTATCGAGTCAGAGTATAACTTTTGTTGTTGTTGTTTTTTGCAGTGCTAGGAATCAAACCCAGTACCTGCCACATGATAGGCAAGCACTTTAACACTGAGCCTCACTCCCAGCACTCTAACACTACTCTTTCATTAGTTATATAACTTATAATTAACTATATTAATTATATATTGTTATATTTCCATACATATTTATATCATATTACAATCAATGCCACTCACCTTTATTACATTTTCTGTGCCTTCCCTCTTCCAACATTACTTTTTTTTTTTTTGGTACCTATCCTGGGATTGAACTCAAGGTCTGGGCAACTACCCCTAAGCTTGTCTTGTTCCAGGTATGTAAGTGTCTACCACTTGAGCCACAACTCTACTTCTGGCTTTTTGCGGGTTCATTAAACATAAGAATTTCATAAACTTTCCCACCCTGGCTGGCTTGGAACCTTCATCCTCACATCTTAGCCTCCTGAGTAGCTAAGATTACTTGTGTGAGCTACCGGCGTCCCTGTTACTCTTAATTACTGCTGAGTGTCCGTCTGGAAAGGCTTCAATACTTACTATCCTATAGGAAATTAAGAATCATTTAGGCTCTTTAAACTTAAAAATCACATTTTTGGTGGTATTGGGTTTGAACTTAGAGCCTCATATTTGCTAGGGTAGTATTTTATCACTGAGCCATGCTTCTAGCCAAACCCCCTATTTTTGCACTGTCTTTATTTTTTTTTTTTTGAGATAGGGTCTCACTTTTTCCACAGGGTAGCCAGGACCTCAAGTCTCCTATTTAGACCTCCTATTGTAGCTGGGATGACAGGTGTGAGCCATTATATTGTTTCTTCTACTGAGATGGAGTCTCATGAATTTTTATGTTTGACCTGGCCTGGAACCAAGATCTTCCCTATCTCAGTCCCCCAACTAGGTAGGGATTACAGGCATAAGCCACCCGTACCTGGCTTAGTCATGTTATTTAAAAATAGCTATTAATGTGATATGATAAAGGATAGGCGCTGACCCTCTACTGCACTGTTCAAGGCTGATGCATTTATTACGATGCAGCACCTTTTGAACTGAAGAAAGGCAACAGGGTACCATGTACTGATGTCCACCTAAAGTGGTGGCTGGACAAGGACTGGAACGGTAAGTTAGGGGTATATCTTCTGCTTACTTGCATATGCAAAGCTTAATACATTTATCTTTTTCAATGAAAAATTAACCTTCTTAAAACTAGAATCCCTGTTCAAGGGCATCCAACTATAGAAGTTCACAAAAGACTCCATCTTGATCAATGGCTGGGCCTGTGGTGTTACATACCTGTCATCCCTGGCTACGTGGAGAACAATGGCTGGACACACAACTGTCATCCCCAGTGACACAGTGCCATTCATGGTGATCTCATCACCACTGTGAATTCCATCACTGATTCACTGTGATCTCACACCGCCATTGTGACATCAAACATTCACTGTGACCTCACATTCCCATTGTGAGTTCATGAACACTGAGACCTCACATTGCCACAGTGACATCACAGACCAATTGTGACCCCCATATTGCCACAGGGAAGCACAAGTAGGAGAAGTAAAGCCCAGGCTAGTCTGGGAAATAAGACCCTACCTAGAAAATACTGAAGGCAAAATGGGACTGGAGGTATGGCTCAAGTGGAGAATGCCTAACTAACAAGAGCCAGGCCTTGAATTCAGTAAGACCCTGAATTCAATCTCCAGTACTCCCCAAGAACCATAATACTCAAAATTAACCATCACTGAAGTTAAAACCATCACTGAAGATTAACACAATGAATGCAGATTGGGAAGAGGGAGGAGGGGAAGAGGGAGGAGTAAAGAAAACAAACCAGTGCAGTTCCCAGACAATTCTGCCTACTGTTGTCATTGAGGTGCTTCATTTTAATATTGCATGGAGGAAGAATTATTGTTTCAGAGCTCATTCAGTGAGGATGGACAGAATAAGGCTGAGGAAGGTCCAGGTAAAAGGGGCTTAGGAGGGTCTGGGAGACACAGTGTTTCAGAGCTACTGTCTTCTATTCTTGGCCATGGTATCCCATGGCTCTTCTTGCCTTCTTTTGATGTTACAGCTCAGCACTATTTAAGATGGAGGCGCTGTATGACCACCAAACAGACTAGTATGAATGCCTTGACACTGATGTGTCAAAGGTGGCAGGAATACCTGGAGATACACCAGCACAGATGCAATAGTGCTCTTTGGCTATGTCAAAGTTGGCATGGATCACTAATAGTCTTTTCAAAAAGGTTTACAAATGCAGGATTTAACGGAATCTAAAAACAAATCAAAATAAATTTACAAGGAAACAAACACAAACCACTTACATTTTTGCTTCTTCTCGTGTTGCATAGGTGACATTGACGACTGCAGTTTCTGTGTCTGTATTGACTAGGGGAGAAGCAAAAACTACATTATCTTTCTGTCAGTTTTCTCTTCTTTCTGAGACACAAGTTTTGATGTTTCTTGATTGGTGCTAGGCTCTGAATGCTTGCCTTTCCCGGTTGTCCACTCTCAAGCTGGATTTCCAGATTAGAGCTTTGCATCTGAGTGAGCAGATAAGAGCTCTGGGATTGCCGTACCTCCAGGGTGCCATCTACTGTGACCTCATTACCACTGTTCATTCACAGACCCAAGGTGACATCACTGACTCACTGTGCTCTCACATCACCATTGTGACATCAAATAGTCATTGTGACCTCACATTCCCATTGTGACCTGACGAACACTGAGATCTTACATTGCCATGGTGATGTCACAGACTAAATGTGACCTCATACTGCTATTGTGACATCATGATTATCGTGCGCTCTCATTGCATTGTGACATCACAGACATGGTGTGATCTCATAATGAGTGTGACTTTACATTGGCATTGTGATATCACAGACCCATTGTGACCTCATATATACATTGTGAGCATTGCTCCCTCATACTGCCATTGTGATGTCACTAGCCTCTCATTGTGACCTCATGACCACTGCTCCTTCCTATCACTATTGAGGCATCACAGACCCATTGTGACATTTATTCTCGCTGGGATTTTTATGACTATTGTGAAGTCTCATTGCCATTCAGGTATTACTGACCCCCACTGTGACATCATTGATCCATTGTGGCCTCGTAGTGACACCATCCACCCATTATGACCTCATGACAGTTATGATGTCATGTCACACTGTGACCTCACAGACCCACTGTGACCTCATATACCCATGGTGTATGTGGCGTATGTACAATGGGACTCTACTCATCCATCAGAAGAAATCATATTGTACCATTCATAAGGAAATGGAAAGACTAGAAACAGGCTGCAGGGTTTCCTTCATTTGTTAGTAGCTAAAATGTGCCTATAAATCTATAAGTAAACATGCTGAATGGTATGCTAGTGGATACAAGTAAATAAACTAAAGTATAATAAACTCTTTGGAAATCCCAAATAGAATAATTTTTTAGGAAGACTAAGGCAAAACCCAACAAAATAAGTACCAGAAAATGCGTACTTACAAGGGGGGAGGGTTAAGAAAGAAGGGTAGAAGAACAAAAGGGGGAAGGGGGAAGGATGGTCAATAATTCATTGTATATACAAAATTAAGAAAAATAAGGGAAGGGGCAAGTCAAAGGGAAGTAAAAATGTTGAAAGGATGACAGATTAAGATGCATTATATATATAAACTCTTTGTTAAAATGGCAAAACAAATTCAATATGTATCCTAAAAAATTTAGAAAAGTGAGGGAAGGGGTAAGGTTAGGAGAGGTGGGTGAGAGTGTTAAAAGGTGTGACATTGATCAAAATGCACTGCATTTATAAACTGCTTTGTTGAATGGAAACTCCTTTGTATAACTACTTGAAGATAATAAAATATTTTTAAACGATATTATCGTTTAAAAACAACTATCTTCTCTCTTTCTAGGTAGACATAGCAACCTTAAGAGAAAAACACACTAAAAAAAAATCACACTGCTCTAATTCTGTAGTTGTTTTGCACTTCTATTAATAGTAATTTGCAAATCAACTGTATATACTATAAAGCTGTATTTTCACAAACATCTCACATGAGCATATGTATATGCACATTTTCTTTATATTTTTCATTTTAATGTCTACATAAATATGTAGTGAGCAAATATACCTAATTGTTATGCAGTTGGCAAATGTATTATTCCTAATATTTGCTATTATACTAAATAGTACGGCTATAAATCATCTTTGTTGCAAAAAACATTTGATTTTGTGCTCCTCTGTCATGACTCTTGAACTCAAGGCCTGGGCACTGCCCTGAGCTTTTTGCTCAAGGCTAGCACTCTAACATTTGGACTCACAGTGTTATATCTGGTTTTCTGGTGGTTAATTGTAGATAAGAGTCTCACAGATTTTCCTGCTGGGACTGGCTTCAAACCAAGATCCTCAGATCTCAGCCTTCTGAGTAGCTAGGTGTGAGCCATGGGCACCCAGTAGAATTATTTTATAGTTTAAAATTATATAAGATAAAAATTGGGAAAAAGAACATGATGTTTTTAAATGTATATTTTCAAACTGCTGCCTTATATAAAAGTTTGGCTCAATTTACTCAGCTTCTTATAAGGTATAAATTTTAATTGTTATGGTTTACATTTAAAGCAACTGTGTATATATACACATATAATGTTATTAGAATTTGACTGACAAGTAAAAATTGCATATACTTATGGCATATAAATATGACTTGTTTTGGTATTATACACATTGCAGAATGGCTACTTCAAGTTATTTTGCATATATATGCATTTTCTCACATACTGCTTTTTAGTGTGTGTAAAAAAGAACTGAAAGATTACTTTGAGCAATTTTCAAGTGTAGATATATTGCTATTAACTAGAGTCACCACATTGCTCTCTCTTGAACTGAGTCCATCTTTTTACAAAGAGTTTAATGTTACATTCCTTGACAAAGTTAAAGGCACATAACTATTTTTTCCCTTATGGACTGGGTGAACTAAATCTAGTAACTGTAACAATAAAAATTAACAATTCCAATTACTTGGCTAAATGAAAGAATACATGGACTCTAGGATTGGCCAATAAGGAATCACTCTTTTGAGCTGGATTATCCTGGTTGATAATTGTTTGCTATTTCTTTCACAGTCAGATATTTCAAGTAAATTCAAAAAGCCAGATTAATATTTATTCCTTTTCAAACCAGGAAATATAACTTTTAAAAGTATCATTTTTTCCCTAAGAGAAAGCATTAGATCAAATTCTCTTTTCAAAACAAACTGTTGAGAGATTTATTAAGTATAATTTAAGAAAATCATAAGAAAGCTACATTTCAAGGTAGCAATAAAGCCTTAATGATAACCTAATGGTTCTTAACTTCTATCTATGCCTGAGCTTCAGGGATTCCATTGCCTCTACCTTCCACATAATTCAAAATTGAAATGTAAACTTTTGTTTCTTTTTTTTGTGAGGGGTGAAGGACAGTCCTAGGCTTTGTCCTTGAACTTTGTTTTTTTTCTTTTTGGCTGGTCACAGGGCTTGAACTCTGGGCCTGGGCACTGTCCCTGAGTTCTTCAGATCAAACCAGCACAGGAGTCTCACGGACTTTCCTGCCTGCGGTGGCTTTGGAATGCAATCCTCAGATCTCAGCCTCCCAAGTAGCTAGAATTACAGGTATGAGAACCATTGGCACCTGGGTAAACTAGTTATCATTTTTGTAAGTCTTAAACCTCAAACAGGTTTGGGACCACCAAAACAATAAAAGTTTTGGGATAAAAATACTATCTTCTAATAATTGCAAAATGGCATCTGCCTTAGAGGGGGCGGGAGCTGCCTCTAAGAGCTACATGTTATCCATGCTCAGCCCAGCCCCAACCACTGCCAGGGAACTTTCACACTGCTCTCTAATCCACAGACACTCTCACAGGGCAAAACAGGGGAAGTCTATCCCATTATAATCCGTGTTCTGCGTGTGAAGACATACAGAATATTGCAGAGCCTTTGTTTTTGATGCCCCTAGGCTACAGATTCTGGCTCCCAGGAAAGGCTGTGCTTGAGCCTCCTGAATAAAGTTATCTTCCACAACTCCCAGATTCTCAAGGTTTGGTCTCACTTTATAGTCATATTTCCTATTCTTCGGTGATGTTTATCTCCAGGAAATGAGGCAGTGTTTTGATTCAGGAATGAGTTGAGCTTTATTCACATAATTTATTTCAATGGACATGAAAACTATGGTATTTCTACCACTGTAGAAAAGTATTCTGCATGATCAGGAATCACTCATGAAAGAACAAAGTAAGAGCTGGGAATGTGACTCAGTGGCAGAGCGCTTGCCTTGACAATTCCTCAGCACCACATAAGCAGAAAAAGCAGGAAGTAGTGTTGTGGCTCAAATGGAGAGTGCTAGCCTTGAGATGAAGAGCTGAGGGACAGCACCCAGGCCCAGAGTTCATATCCCATGACCAACAAAAAATAAAAGAAAATAAAATAATAAAGAAAGAACAAAATAGTCCAACAGTTCTATCCTCACAACTGTGACGCTGCTAGAAACTAATTAGGCAATTTCCAGGGCCCAGGGAACCAAGGAGCTATGAACTGGGATCTGGGATATGTCTTCCTTGTGTATGTGACGTTTTTAATTAGGTAATTTGGGGGGGGGGTGTTGGAGATACTACATAGCCCAAGCTAGCCTGGAACTTGTGATTCTCCTGCCTTAAACTCTTTTGTTTGTTCTTAGGTCAGTCATGGAACTTGAACTTGGGCGCTATCCCCAAGCTCTTTTGCTCAAGACTAGCACTCTACCACTTTGAGCTACATCACTGCTTCTAGTTTTCTGGTAGTTATTGCAGATTAAGAATCTCATTGCCTTTCCTGCCTGGGCTGGCTTTAAACCATGATCCTCCTATCTCAGCCTCTTGAGTAGCTAGGATTACAGGCAGGAGCCACCAGTCCCTGGCTTGCCTGAACCACTTGATTTATTGAGATTAAAGGTATCTACCACCACACTGGGCTCAACTAGTAACTTTTTTTGGTGCCAGTCCTAGAGCTTGATCTCAGGGAGTGGGCACTGTCCTGAGCTTTTTCTTGCTCAAAGCTAGTGCTCTACAGGCTAGGAAGGTGGCTCAGTGGTAGAGCGCTTGCCTTGCATGCCTGAGGCCCTGGGTTCGATTCCTCAGCACCACATAAGCAAAAAGAAAAAAGCCAGAAGTGGCGCTGTGGCTCAAGTGGTAGAGCACTAGCCTTGAGCTGAAAAACTGAGGGACAGCGCCCAGGCCCAGAGTTCAAGCCCCATGACCAGACCAAAAAAAAAAAAAAAAAAAAAGCTAGTGCTCTACTACTTGAACCACAGCTTTTTCTTTTTTCTCTGTATTGTGCAGCCATATTAATATCATCTGTGAACTATAATTTTTATCTTAAGTATGTGCATTTTGAACTGTCAGTTAAAACGTAAGTTAATGAATATGTATAACAGTGACTCACACCTATACTTCCTGCATTTTGCTGGTTAATTGGAGGTAAGAGTCTCACAGACTTTCCTAACCAGGCTGGCTTCGAATTGCAATCCTCAGATCTCAGTCTCTAAGAAGCTAGTGTTAAGGCATAAATTAGTAATTTTTATAATAGGCTCATGGTTAGAAGGCCACCTTCTACCCTGAACAACAGGAACCAATATACAAGGACACGTGCACCTCCATGTTTATTGCAGCACTATTCACAATAGCTAGGATAAGGAAACAACCCAGATGCCCCACCACAGATGAATGGATCCAAAAATTGTGGTATCTATACACAATGGAGTATTATGCAGCCATTAGAAATGACAAAATAATGGCATTTGCAGGGAAATGGATGGAGCTAGAAGGAATCATGTTGAGCGAGGTAAGCCAAGAGCAAAGAGACAAACGGTACATGGTCTCCCTGATAAGTGGATGCTAAATCCAAAGTGTTAGGTGATACGACAAAACCAACAGGACTTAAGAAACAAAGAACTTCCACTCATCTGGTCGAACCACTACTAAATATCCCCATGCTGCTGATCACATGAATGGTGTATAACATGTGAACACCATTATATGTTATAGACTGTGATAGACAATTTGCTCCAGGAAAGTTAGAATGAACTTGTGACTTTAAATGAGCATCATTATTCCACAATACTGTGAAATTCCAGAAATTATGTAATCACTTAATCACAATCAAAAAAAAAAAAAAAGAACCTCGGGGAAGGTAGGGAGGGAAGGGATGGTAGGGGGAAAACAATGGAGGGGGTAACAATGTTCAAGAGGAAGTGTACTCATTACCTCACTCATGTAACTAACCCTCTGTATAGTATCTTTACAATAAAAAAAAAAAGAAGGCCACCTTGTCTACTACAGTCAATTATCATAATGTCTTTTTTTCCATGCTGAGGAAAAGAAGAACTGATAGATTGAATCCTTGTAAATTATGTCTTCATTCTGAACTCTTTTTCCTTTGGCCAGGAGCAATCAAGAACATGGAACTAAATAATAATAATTTTGATGTTCATGGAGTAGAGAACATCTGAATAATTACTATTTTTAAACTATTATATAGCCAGGTGCAAGTAGTTCATACCTATAATCCTAGCTACTAGAAAGCTGAGTGAGATCTGACAATCAAGGTTCCAAAGGAGCTGGAGCAAACACATCCAGGAGACTTTAATCTCCATATTGCCAGCAAAAAAGAGTTGGAAGTTCAGGCATGGCTTAAATGATAAGACTGAGAGCTTGAAGCCCTGAGTTCAAGCCCCAGTTCTGGCACAAAGAAAAAAAATGTATTTATTATACTGGTAAATAAAACACACTGCATATGAATTTTCTTAAGAGAACCTTTAAAATCCCTAAGATTATGTGAGACTCTACTACCTAAAATATCTTACTCAGGTTCTCTTTAGGTATCACAACTATTTCGTGATAGAGAAGAGCAAAAATAATCCTCCCCATTTTGCACATGTGGAAACTACATCAGTGAGGCTGAATAACTTTTCCAAGGGCCAATAGCAAGTGACTGAATTTACACTTTGATTTTTTTAGGTCAAGGCAACAATAATCTTGATCACACTGTCTTTAATATCAAGATCTTGGGATCAATTTTTCTGTGACTCTTAAGGAGCTATTACAAGGTATCAGCATTAGGCACATTTTTCCATCCTGCTAAAAATCATAGTACTCCGTGTTTTAGAGGAATAAATAGGACAACGGGAAGAAATACAGTGCTTTCTGTGCATGTGTAGCACTATTTCTATGCTGGTACTTCTCAACCTGAGAGCACACAAAAATCATTTGGAGTGTTTGATTCCTAAGCTCTTTTCCACCAGTGGCTCATACCTGTAATCCAGTAAGCTGTGGCTTAAGTGGCAGAGCACTAGCCTTGCACATAAAAGCTCAGGGACAACTCCTAGGACTTGAGTTTAAGCCCCAGGACCAGCACAAAAGAAAAAAAAAATTAAGGGTCTGCATTTCCAAAAGTACTATAAGAGATTCTTAGCATAAGAGTCCTACTCATCGGTAAACACACTAGAAATCTAGCTTTCTCAGACAGTTTCCCAATGCTTCAGCACATTGCAAAGTATAAGAAAAATGACATTCCTTGACAAACTATACAGATATATACAGATCTCTCTCTCTTTCCGTGCATGTGTGTGTGTGTGTGTGTGTGTGTGTGTGTGTGTGTGTGTGTGTGTAAGTAAAACGAGGGAGAGGGAAAGGAGGAAGAGGGAGAGAGGGAGAAAGGGATGGGGGAGAGTAGGGGAGAGAGGGAAAGGGGAGAGGGGAGAGGAGGAAGATGGGGGGAGGGAGAGGGAGAAAGAGAGAGGGAGAGAGAGGGAGAGAGGGGGAGAGAGAGATCTCCTCCTCAGGAAGCACATAGAAAAGAACATGAATTTACTATTTTGCCTGGAGCGGACCCTAGCCCGTAAGAAATAACAGGTAACATTCCTCTAAAACTAAGGATGATCTCATTTATTACCTTGTTCCACATTCTCCACTGTCCCATACTGGGCCAACAGTCCATCCAATACCTGTTAAAGAAAGCTTCAGTGTCAGAAGGGAAGAACAGATCATACTCACAAAAAAATGACACAGTGATTTCCCTCCAGCAAATAAAGTAAAACAAGGTCAGCCAATTTAATCACTGATATTTCAAGTTTCACTGACAACAGAACTGAATAACATGAATGTGCAAAGACACTGTTCATTGGCTCCTAAGTAATCTACTCACTAAGGTGAGGGCAAAGAACTGGGACTGGGAACTGGGAACATTCACATTCATGGTGATGGTTGGAACTACTCTTGAAAAGCACCATGGAGTACAAGGCTCACTTCTCCTTGGAAGATTTAACAGTTCTTCCTTCAACTTTCCTCCAGGGATCTGCTTGTTTCACAAAGTAGTGGTATGTGTATGTTTGAAACTTTCCATGATTAAAAAAAAAAGTTTCTTTTTTAAAGTAATGAAAACATTAGATAAAACATCCTGTTTCCTTTAAGGCTATTTTGATTTTCTCTGAGTTGGGGAATAAAATATGGGGCAATCTGTTCTTAAATAAGCAATGAGGCCTCTCCCCACAGTCTATCTTATTTTACATTAAGATAGTGATCTTAGAAGATGTTTTAGAGCTCTGAAAATATATCTTAACTGTCATAGCAACTAAATCAAAACATATAAACCTGCTCAGACTAACAAAGAACTTTCTATGCTGTTGGTCTCCCATGCCCCCAACCCCCATCAGAATTGGAAAAGATAAAATCTCTTGCTAAATCATGTGATAAAAGCCACCAACCAGGTACAAATTTTGCTTCCCAACTTGTTTGTTGGTGCTTGGTGGCCTGGTATTTACGAAAGCAGATTTGAAGAGATCTAAGTACATTCAGTACAATGGAAAGAACTAATAAGGCCCCAAACTCATGACATATATATATATGCTCATATATATATATGAGCACTGAGGGAAGGTGTGACCCAGGCTTTGAGGAGAATCCTCTAATTCCTACCCAGGAAGGTGAACTGAACAGGAAGAAAATGTCTTGGTAATCTCTTAGAAAGTGACATGGGCTTACCTCCCACTGCAGGTGAGGAGGGATGTTTCGAATCTGAATTTTCCTGCTCCTGTAAAAACAAAACCACCATCAGTAACACTTAACGAAGGACACCAACTTCAACCAAATAGGCTAAAGACCATAACTGAGTGTATTTTCTTACTGTGCTTTCTCCAGGCATCTACAGAAGACTACCTACAATGGATCACAAGCATTGTGTTCTAAGATTTTCAATTATTTGGAGGAAAAATTTCAAGAAGTTCTAACAAGCTAAAGAAACAATAATTAAATACAGATTTGCCTTTTCGATTTCTGACCAAAATGGTTAGAATTTAAATTATCATATAGCCCAAAGGGTACCTAGGTTCAAACATAAGCTAAGTAACACTTATCATTAGCTTTAATGAAATTAGGTTAAAAAATTACAACACATTCCAGAGATCATGAAAATCTCCCTCACACACACACATACACCAACAATAACCTTTTTATTTTTGTGTACACTTCAGTTTTCTTCATGAAAATGTTTCCTATAGTAATAATTGTAGGGCTGAAGTGGTGGCTCAAGTGGTAGAGCACCAGCTGAGCTAGCACAAGGTCCTGAGTTCAAACCCTAACACCACGCCTACCCTTGCAAAAAAGAGATACTCTATAGAAACATTTGCATATTCTCCACAATCTCTGCATTTTAATTTTCCTCTGGAGTGGGAATGTTCTGGAGCTCTTTCTCTGGGTAGGCAGAGAACTTACTCCTATTTTGTGTCAATGACTGTCTTGGTATCCATTTTACCATTCCCTATGTACGGACATTTTCATTCAAAGGTGCTCATTATCGCATACTGTTGGGCCAATGCCTCTGAGTAATTTCCATTGTTTCTATTTTATGTAAGCATTCAAATTAGATTGAAAAATAAAAATAAAGAAATGTTTATCTTTTAAGAACATGCTAAATCCTGGAAAAAGAGGACAAGACACCTTAGGCATTTAGAGAGGGCAACAGGAGCATAGCTCGGATTATTTTTTTCTCTCATTCTAACTGAAAGGACAACATCTAAAATTAGGTAATGGTGATCTATTCTACACCATTTTTTGCCAGTATTGTGATTTGAATTCAGGGCCTTGTACTTGCTCAGCTTGCTTGGTAGGCTGGTGCTCTACCACTTGAACCATACCTTCAGCCTAGTTTTTTATTGGTTATTTTGGAGATAAGCTGCTATAGTCTTTTCTAGTTGGGCCTCCTGAGCAGTTAGGCATGAACCATGGACACCTGGCCAAAAGATGCTCTTTAATAGAACAAATATTCTGGCATTTTCCTTGTTTATATGAGACTCAGAGAATTTCTGCTCTCATATTGAAATGAGGTGGGGCAGGACAAGAAGCCCGGCATCTAGACTGCCAGTAATTAGCTTGCAAGTTTTCAAGGCCTTTCCATATACAAATGCTTCAAGTTACTCTCTGTCAGTGCTATTGTATTTGCACTGTAGATGCTCAGAGGTAATAGAAAGGTTCTGAGTGAATCTGAGAGAAATATGGTATCTATAATTATTAATTTCAAGGGCCTATAGAAACTTTGGTTATCATAGAATTTGTTGCTAAAGTAACTAGGCAACCAGCTGAGGAAACACAATCGTATTTACCAATTTGATCAATCTTTGTGAAAATGAAAAACTTAAACTGCATTATTTTTTCTTAAAGCAAAACACCCCCTTGCATGTGAGAATATTAACACTTTGGTTTTCAGGCATCAGGTTAATTAAGCACAGGTTTGATCTGCTGCCTTGAGAACCTCAACCCAAGTCTTGACCATAACATAGAAAACAAGTTAAAAGCATAGAAAACAAGTTAAAAGTGAAAGACCCCCGACTTCGGGTGTCCCCCAAATCCGGACCTCCCTGCCCCAAGCACCAGTCAGACGACACCAGATGCAAAAGGCAAGAGGATTTTATTTGGGCATGCCCAGGTTCCCAGGTGCACGTGACCTCGAGATCCGCAAGGTTCGGGTCAGTGTCTGGGAACCCCGAGCAGTCCCGGGGATGGTCCTTTTATGGGACCTCTCTGTCCGTTACAGGAGTGCCCGCGCTTTTTCAGCCAGTAAATTTAAAGTGTTACAACCTGGTCTGCACGCAGGCAGCCAATCCTTTTAAAACAAATCATATGTTTTAGCCAATCACTGTTCGAGGGGGTCCCTGTCTCCGGCCCTTGGTATGAGGAAGTGACCTTTGTCCGAGTCAATGCCTGTCGTTCACTCACACCAGGGGGCTGACTGCGGGGTGGGATTAGTTAGTAGGGTGTGGGCTTATTAACTGGTGAGGTTATCAAAAGGGGAGTGTGGGGTAATATAATTTTCTTAGCAAAGCATGTTACAGAAGGCAGAAATAGCTTGGTTAGATACAAAACTCTGTTCCCCTAAAAAAAGGAGGCTCGGGGCCTGCTTGGTTAGGGAGGGGGTCTTTCAAAAGGAATTGTAGAAAGTCAGCTAATAAGGATCCTAGGTTCCATTTGAAAATGAAAATGGCTAAAAATTTAAGGATTTCAAGAGAAATGGTGGGCAAGAAGGGAAACAGAGGCAGAAGGGTTCTATGAGAAAGTCCTTTGGGGTTTAATGAGAGATTTGATCCAACTAGTTCCATTTTTTCCCTATAGAAACTGAGCTTTATTAGGTGACACAGGGTCTTCATCTTGGAGGGAAACTACTGTGTCTCAGAAAAGTGTGTTGTCTGTAGGAATACTGATTCCAAGAGCTGAAACCACAAGAGCCCCCAGCCTCACTCCCTTCAAGTTCAATAGTCAGATTTTACCATACCCCTCACGCTCAGAATGGTTGAGGTATTTTATGTTTCCCAATCCCTATTAGTTTGAAAGTTCCCCTTTGAAAGTTCTGGACATTTAAAGCCGGGCGCTGGTGGCTCACGCCTGTAATCCTAGCTACTCAGGAGGCTGAGATCTGAGGATCGAGGTTCAAAGCCAGCCCGGGCAAGAGAGACTGTGAGACTCCTATCTCCAATAAACCACCAGAAAACCAGAAGTGGCGCTGTAGCTCAAGTGGTAGAGCGCTCGCCTTGATGAAGAGCTGAGGGATAGCACCCAAGCCCAGAGTTCAAGCCCCACGACCGAAAAAAAAAAAAAAAAAAAAAGAAAGTTCTGGACATTTTGTGCTGAATTCAACTATGACCTGGGGCTACTAAGGGGAAGAAAATAAATCCCAGGTGGTAGCCAAGTCCAATTCTCGACCTACCTACTGAAGTCCTCCTCCCTCTCCCTCTATCACACACAGGCTCACACACTGGGAACTGTATTATGAACCAAATCATAAAACAAGTCAGACATCACGGTGACCCCGGTAAAGGGGAATTACAGTAATGAATTTAGTAGCTTCCTTTGTTTTCTAACTCATGCTTACAAAACACCCACAACTCCAAGCAGTCCTCACAATTCATGCTTCTGAATGTTCAGGGTCAAGATTACTATTCAAAGGGAACAGCTTAAATGCCTTAGTGGACTTGTACTGATATAACACTGTAAACTGAGTGGCTTATAAATAATCAACATTTGTTTCTCAGGGTTCTGAAGTATAAGAGAAGGTGGCAGCATCTAGTGAGCATCATCCCATAGTGGAGGGCAAGAGGGTGAGGGAGAGCAAGACACAGAAAGGCCCTACCTCGGGGGGAGGCTGGGAAGGGAAGTGAAGGGTAAACCAAAGGAGGAGGCTGCAATGCTTGGTAAGAAATGTACGCATTATCCTGCCCATGTAATTGTAACCCCTCTGTACAGTATGTTCACAAATAAAAAATAAAGAAATTAAAAAAAAAGAAAGGCCCTACCTCTTATCGATCATCACTTTGGGGATTAGGATTTCAACCTATGCATTGGGGATGGGGAAACACAAATCTCGAATTAAAGAATAAGCAATAGTCTAAGACCTCGTAATTCATTCACCTCCTCCTTCCCTCTCAAAGGGCCCACTGGCTCATAAAAATACCCTAACTCTTGGAGGAGTAACACAATTTCAGTTTTCCTTTTGAAGGGAACCTCAGAGATTCCTAATTGCTGTTGAAAGAAGTAGAAAGGAAAAGGAGTAAAGTCAATAAGATGATTAGACAATCAGAAGTGAGAAGATAGGCTGGATGCTTAATCCTGGGCAATACTACAAAGGAATTCCTCTATTGGTTTAAAGAACAATAGGTACAATTTGCATTCAATGACAACTAAGGTACTTACTTTATTCCCAAACTAGATTCTACAAATCTTTTGGAGAAAGTGTATTAAGGCTATTTTTCAGGCTGGAAATGTACTTGACTAGCATGCATGAAGCCCTGGATTCCATTCCTCAGGACAATATAAACAGATAAGGGTGTTAGTGGTGCTGTAGCTCAAGTGGTAGAGTGCTAGTCTTGAGCAAAAGAAGCTCAGGGACAGTGCCCAGGCCCTTAGTTCAAGACCCAGGAATGGCAAAAAAAAAAAAAAAGGTGGGGGGAAAAGAGGATTAATTGGTGATTAGAGTCTCGTGGAATTTTCTTGTTAGGCTGGCTCTGAACCACAATCCTCAGATCTCAACCTCCTGAGAGCTAGGATTACAGGCATGAGCCACCAGCAGCTAGCTAAGGGCCCCTATTATTAGAATAACGATAAGCAACACAACTATTTGAACTGAAAGACTAAAAATCTAAATAAATCATTATTCAAGGAGATATAAATATTGTTTTTTTTTGGGGGGGGGTCCCATTGTGGAGCCTGAACTCTGGGCCTGGGCGCTGCCCCTCAGCTCTTCAGCTCAAGGCTAGTGCTCTACCACTTGAGACACAGCGCCACTTCTAGCTTTTTTTTTCTTTTTGCTTATGTGGTGCTGAGGAATGGAACCCAGGGCCTCATGCATGCAAGGCAAGCGCTCTACCACTGAGCCACCTTCCCAGCAAATATTGTTCTTTATCAAAGACCTCTTCAGGAAAATTGTCAGAAAATCCTGGCATAAGAAAATTTTGACACTTTTATGAAACTTTGTGTACAATTCCCTACTTAAAATCTCTCCTATCCACTATCTTTGCTTCTCAACTATTTTTTTTTTTGATAATA